AAAAAAAAAAAAAAAGAAAAAAAAATCCTCTCTCCAAGCTTATATTGACTCATGGGGGATAAAGAAAGTATTCAGGTTTTTGTACAAAATTAGAAGATGAAATAATGATAAAATCTGTAGTGGTTTGAATAAGAAATGCTCTCCAAGCTTATATTGACCCATGGGGGATAAAGAAAGTATTCAGGTTTTTGTACAAAATTAGAAGATGAAATAATGATAAAATCTGTAGTGGTTTGAATAAGAAATGCCAACCACAGGCGGAACATGCACTTGAACAGCACCCCAGTTGGGTGCTACTGTTTGGTGAGGTTAGGGAACCCTTAGGATGTGGAGCTTTGCTGGAGGAAGTACGTCACTTGGGATAGGCTCATTCCACTTCCAGTTCACTCTTTGCTTCCCATGTGTGTATGGAGCTGTACTCTGCCCGCTGCCATACCTCCCCTGCCATTGTGGATGCCCCCTCTAGAACTGTAGGCCAAAACAAACTTTCTTCCTTAAGCTGCTTCTGTTCATGGCATTTTATCACAACAGAAAAGAAACTGATACACTGTCTTAGCACACACAGAACTCTCTCTTTCTAGAAATATAAATAATATTCAGATTCATCATGCATAAATCGACATACTTCATAGGAGGGTTACGTTATATAATAGTAGTAAGACAGTGCCAAGTCCTTTTTAATACAGGGATGTAGAGATTAATTTAGAAATGTTCCCGATTTTCCTACATTCTAAATACTTTTGCTTAATATGAATAGAGGCTATCATAATAGCAGCTAGATCAGAAAGGAAAATAAAACACTAAAAATGAAAAACTGAAGAGAAATGATGTGCACAGGAAGCTAACCAGATGATCAGGCTATCCCAATCGCTCATACCTGAGAGAATCCTCACAGAACTGCTGAGGCTGACAGGCCACCCATCTTTCAGCCAGGTTATGGAAGGCAGGGGGATTCCAGAGGCTTCGCAAGTCAGGGATACTGAGCTCTTTTCCACCACGCTGACATTTTCAGGAGCTCGATGGTTCCCTATGATGCTTGGAGGTGCTGTAAGACAAGACCAAACCAACCTCAAACATAAAGGGGGCAGGCCAAAGAACATGAAACACGAATCCTTAACAGCTTATTTCTAATGGGAACACTTCCATTTTCTGGTTAATAGTACTCAAAACAATGACCTTTCTGGAAATAGAAATGTCACTTCTTCCCTACTCTGTCCACTGAGTGACTCTCATGGTACTGTTCCAGTAGCGGTGAGCTACTTTCTGAGCTACTCCTCAGTCATGACAGATTTATAACATAAACTCATAACTTTCTTATAACCAGGATTCTGTAAAAATTAATTCTAATCTTAAAAATTAAATTAATTTAACAAAAGATGTTAAGAATTAATTTTATTTTAAAAATATTTTATTTATTATTTTTATTTTATGTGTATGAGTGTATTGCCTGCATGTGTGTTAAGTGCACATGTGTCATACAATGCCTATGGAATCAGAAGAAGGCATTGGATTCCCCTGGAACTGGAGTTACAGATGGTTGTTAGCCATCATCTGGGTGCTGGGAATCAAACTCAGGTCCATTGCAAGAGGAGTTGGTGCTCTTAACTTCTGAGCCATCTTTCCAGTCCCTAATTTTATCTATTTATATTCAGATCTTTTATCTTTGGCAAGCATATTGGCTGCAATGTACAAGATACTAATATTGACTTTCATTTTTTTCTTTTTTGCTTCTTTGTTTTGAGGCGGCTTTCATTTTGAAGCTTGGGCTAGTCTGGAACTCCCTATAAAGCCCAGGCTGGAACTCCAGCCCTAAACTCACAATCCTCCTACCTGAGTGTTTCATATTACAGATGTGCAAAAGCAGGCTTAGTTTTGTTCATTTATTAATGATATTCAAGCTATAAGATTTGTATCTATAAATTTCTATAAATTTAAAAATTATATATCAAACTGCATGTAGCCAAAGAGCCTTCTCTTAATATGTAAATATTTGGTTGATTCCTGTCAACATTTTATAGTTTATTAGTTAGAATCTTTATGCTGACCTTAATATGATTCATGACCAATGAATGTTAAAGCAGTAAACTTTCAAAAAATTTTTATTTATTCTTTTCATGTGTATGATTGTATGATTGTAATGTCTACATGTAGGCAAGTGCACTTGTGTCATGCAATGCCTGCAGAGGACAGAAGAGGGCATCAGATCCCCTGGAACTGTAGTCACGAACAGTTGTTAGTTGCCAGATAGGTGCTGGAATTCAAACCCAGGTCTTCTGCAGGCATAGCCAGTGCTCTTAATCACTGAGCTATCTCCCCAGCCCTGAACCAGCAAACTTTAAGGAATAAATATTTATATTAGTCTAGTTAAAAACTGAAATTAAAAACTATATAAAGTATTTTACTAGAGGTAGTACTGAGCTGAAAGTATTTGAAGAAGACAATTTTCTACTTTGTGCTTGGCCCAAAGAATAACTAATATGTTTGTCACAGTGAGGTAAGTGACATGAAGCCAGGCATAGAGATGGATGAGTGAGGAGATATAGGGAAGCAGCACGTATGTAGAAAGGATCAGCTTTGTGAATACCATCTTCAGGACATCCCGTGCCTATTGCATTCATTAATTCACACCATCTGTGGTTACCAGCAGAAGACCTGCACGAGATCAAGTCAGCCAAAATTCATGCACAGACAGGGGCTATGACCTCCAGGCCACACCCCTTTACTGAAGAGGTTTTAGCAGTTGATACCTGCTGGGGGAAGGCGAATCATTCTTTGAAAGTGTGGCCACTGGCAGGTTTTCAGTGTTCCAGTGGATGGCCTCACACCCATGCACATATGGGTGGCACTAATGGGACTTAATGGGTTATAAAAGACATAATGTTAGGAGGGGAAGGTGGTGGGGGAAGTACAGAGGCAGACAGAAGGGCAAATGGGGGGTAGAGGTTCATATGATCATATTTCATTATATACATGTATGAAATTCTCAAAGAATAAAAAAGAAAAAAGAAAAAAAGGGCTAGGTTACAGATATAAGACTTTTAGATTTGAGGCCTATATTTCCAGGATGCTAGTTTGTATCATCCAGAGAACAAACTTCTTCACCCAATTGCTACTTACTATGTACACTTAAGTCATATTTTCTGTCAGTCATTCCTGCTACATTCACAGCAACACACATGTAACGGCCCGTGTCAGATACATGAATGTTCTTCAGCTGAAGGATGCGCCCTTCATTCAGTATTTCCACTCCCTTTCCTTTGGTCAAGGGATGGCCATCTTTCATCCAGGTGACTATTGGCTGAGGAATACCCTGCACTTCACAGTCTAAGGAAATGCTCTTCCCACGAAGGACAGTTATTTCAGGATGGTAGCTGCCACTGTTGGCTAGAGATGGTCGAACTTTAGGGGAAAAGAGAAAACAAGAAATAATATGGGACAGGTTTGCTTCACCTCTAATAGGACCTTTTTACTACTCAAGTTAAACACATTCAGTACACCTTTGGGGGGTGGGGGTGGCAAGTTTCTTGTTTCCCAGGCTGGCTTTGAACTCACTGTATGGTTGAGGAAAATATCAAACTTCTGTTCTTCTTGCCTCTACCTTTAAAGACCAGGATAACAGGAATGTACCAACACACCTAGTTCTATGTGGTGCTGGGGGTCAAACCCAAGGCTTTGTTCATGTTAGGTAAGTACTCTATCAACTGAGCCACAATCTCAGCCTACACTTAAACATATTCTTACATCAAAATAAAGAAAATACCATGTGGTGGCACACATGTAGTCCCAGCACTCAGATCTCTGTAAGTTCAAGGCCAGCTTGGTCTACATGGTAAGTTCCAGGTCAGCTGGGGCTACAGGGACACCCAGTCTTAAAAAGTTCCCTCCCCCCTGCAAAAAACAGAAAAAGAAAACACTCAGGACCAACAGACAATATTGCTATGTAACCAATTATCAGTGTATTGAGAGGTGGAATTCTTCTCTAATGTTTTCAAGTCAGTTAATTCCTAAAATAAAGCTATTTATACAGGAAGAAAAGAATGGTGTATTTGCTAACTTCTACTTTTTGAGAAATCATATAAATAATTGAACTTACCAATTGGAACTCTGATTTGCTGGTGTTTCTAGTGCTAATTAACTCTTTTTTATCCTAATAACTTTTTACTTGACACTAGTATACAGACATAAAATAGGTATGAAATACATGAAAATTCAATAAAAATACATTTAAAATAGGTATAGAAATCAAACATTTACTTATAATAAATCATAAAAGAAATTTACTTTTAAATAATTCTTTGGCTCACATTTAATTTTATCATTTATTAAAGGCAAAAGAAAATTTGTGTACTAATTAGATGGCTATGCAAGTGTATTTTTAACATAAAGAATATATGACACTGCAGGATGAAGATCATCTTCAAAGTTTTCAGAGTTGATTGCTATTTCCAATTTGTAATTGTCAAGACCAAGAACATCACTTCACATAAATACATAGGTACAAGATGGTAGAAGCAAGTTTAGGGACATTTTAGACATTGTTGGAAACTTTCTCGTAATCCTAAGCCAAAATTCATCCAACGATTTTTTTAAATGAAACTCAAGCCAGCAATTCATGCACCAATTTTAAAAAATCAAACACAATTCAATCCAAAGGCATACTAATTTGATACTAATATGGTGAAGAATGATGGTAAGGAAATATTAAGTCTTTTCTGTAATTAAACCATCATGTTTCTTTAAAAGCAGAAAACTTTGTGTGCATAGCAATCACACTGTAATTCATAATGTCAGACAGTCTCCAATCTGAGCTGAGGAGTTTCAGGCAGCGCTCACTGGTACTGTGTGATGTAAGAGCACTCACAGTGCAAAGGGCACATGTTGTGTGTTCAGATCCAAGGCTACAGTGACATCTCATGATACAATACCAGTGAGCATGACCCAAAACACCTGGGATTCATCATGTGTGCAATGTTGACTTAATTTATGGTCATTCTGTATTCTGAAACTTTTACTATTGCCAAGTTTTTCACCTCTCCACATTCAGTTAAACAGGTCAGGGCATGCAGAGGAAGAGGCTGTGGCCTAACTTATGATCGGGTCTGTTAAAACCTTTCTTTCTTCTCCTTCACAAGATTTGGAAGAGCTGAGACTGTGTCTCAATCTTTGTAAGTTTAGTGGCTGTATGAAACAATTCAAACCTTGAATGTTTAAAGAAAGGCCTCCTGGGGGCTGTAGGAAACATTTTGCTCTGGTAGTATAAGGCAGAAAGTAACAGCCTTTCCCCTTCTTGCTTTTAGTGTGAACCTGATATCGCAGATGCCACAACTATCTTAGTATCTTGAAGGAAGGTCCAGGAGAATCACAGAACTTCTGTCCTGCTGGGAGTGAGTGGGGTGCTCATCTGCAGAGATGAACTGCCTGCCTAAGGCATCTCATTAAGTGAAGCACTAAACAGCCGCAGGTCATGCCACTGAACCAGCTTTACTGTTACTTTGTAGCTGAATTTACTTACTTGAAGCTGATTATAAGAATTAATAACTTTGCCAACTCCCATACAAATATGTTTGGGGAAAAAAAAGTGGACCAATTCCCGTAACCCTGTGTTCTAGGAACAGTTCTACCATGCACAAGCCAGTCACCATGATCAATTATGGAAATGTCTCTGATCGATTTTCCACACCTGTAAGACAGAGGTGACAGTTCTGTCTTACATGATGATTTACATATGCAGGTTGTAGTCTAAGTAGCCTATTAAAATATTTTATGTATTATAAATATACTTCATGCTAGAGTAACTCAGTTGATAGAATACTTGCCTAGCATGAACAAAGTCATGGGTTGGATCCCCAACACCACATAAAACTAGGCATGGTAGCATATACCTATAATCCCAGCACTCAGGCGGTAGCGTCAAGATGATGTGAAGTTCAAGGTCATTCAAGCACACAGCAAGCTTGAGGCCAGCCTAAAAATCTGCCTAAAAAATAAAATACCACCACCACCACTTACAATAACAGTAACAACAAAGTATAACGTATAATGCTCTCTTTTCCCTTTCTAGATATCCACTGTTGGGCCCTCAGCAATTCGCAACAAATCAGACAGTGATTTGTTTGTCACTGGTGAGCTGATGGAAAATAGACAGATATTTTCCTGAATAAATAAAAGCCAGAAAGAATCAATTGCTCTCTGGTTATGTCAGCACATTTAAACCACATGATTGGTATAGCTATACTTCTGTGAAATGTTATAGATATAGAGAGAAACAAAAAGGAGAGATGGAAAGGTTTAAAAGAAATTTGTGCTCAGAGCTTGGCAAGGCCAATAGCTTACTGTACACTTGCAGATTATAGTCTTTCTTTGCAGTTCCAGCCTCACTGGATGCCACACATGTGTAGAGTCCTGTATCTACTTTCTCAGCAACTGAAATCTGTAGCCGTCTGCCTCCAGATAAAATTCTAACTCGTCCCGCAGAGTCAGCCAGCACTGGAGAGCCTGCAATAACAGCCAAGTGGCAGAATTGGAGGCAAAATATGATGAGTTTTATATACTTGCCCAGATAAGTACTTATGTATTTCCTTCCTAGTTTAAGCACCAAAAAGGTGACAATCCTGTGAAATAATCCCCTAGTAGTATGTAAAATGAAGGGGGACTGGATGAGCTAACATGAGTGTGCATGGATAACAACTTGATAAATAAGCAGTTGAAAATCTACTCAACTATAAAACTGCCATAAATGTAATAGAAATATTTGCTTTAGAAAATAATTTTAAGACTATTTTTTTAAAAGAAAAGAGTTCTTGGAGAGGTGGTTAATGACTATGATTATAGGTATTCCATAATGCATTTGATTAAAAGGCAATGACTGTAATATAGAAAATTGATTATTCTGGGTAGCAGTTAGTTAAAACGTGAAAATCTTCAGTGAAATAATATCAGTGTTAAAGGTCAAAATTTAATAAAACTAATTTTGCAGTCTAGCATTTAAAATATGAACTCCATGAACTTTTTTTCTCTTATTTTTTTTTTTTTACAAATTGACAGGGCTGTCAAACTAAATATTCTATCTTCTAGGTAGCTATGTATCTGTGTATCTATGTATCTATGTATGTATCTGTGTATGTATCTACGTATCTATCTATCTATCCATCCATCCATCCATCCATCCATCTATCTATCTATCTATCTATCTATCTATCTATCTATCTATCTGGCCATCATCTTTCTATTAATCCATCTATCATCTGTCATCTATCTATCATCTATAATTTAAAATGTTATGGTTGAAAACTGACCCTTCTTCTTCCAGATGAGATTTGGGGGAGGAATACCACTTGATTCACACAACAGAGTGATGAGGTTCCCTTCGATGACTGTAAGTTGAACAAGCTCATCAGAACCATAAATACTTGGTGGTACTGAAAGAAAAATTAGAAAAGTGTGGGTTTTCCACTTTTCATGTCATGTCAAGTTTTTCTAAAACTTCACACACAGGAAAAAAGACTTCTATTCAAATGATGTGAGAAAATAACACAGAAGTTTGAAAGTCACCTCTAAGGTATAGAATCAGTACCTAATAACAGTGCTTCGCATTTTTGTAGAACTTTTATTACCAAAGTATTAGAATGGCATAGTTTATTATAGACATTTAGATATTTCTGTTAAAATGCTGATGCCTACCAAGTCTAAGTTTAACCCGGTCATTGATGTCCAGCCAGCCTCAATATCTTAGAGTCCTAGAAAGCAGTAGGCATGTAATGTACAGTACAGAACAGAGACAAGGGGTTTCAGTTAAGAGATGGACATATTGCCTACTCTAGATTGTATATCTTGTTGGTCTCTAGCCAATCTTACTGGAGCCCTTAAAGGGAATCCTGATTATTAAGCTTCTCTCAAAGGGGCTGGAGCCTGACGCTACCAGATAACCCCCTCCCACCCCATAAGTCTCTCTCTGCAGGATTAGCAGCTGGCAGATGCTCATTCTTTGAAGTTCCTGGGGGTTGAGGAGTCACAAACTCCTCCTAGACTCTAGCACATCTTCAGTTCTTGTTCAACTATCTCTCTGTAAACACAGAGATTGGCACTACATTAAATTTATGGTCTCCATTTTCAGCTCTACCCTTTGCTATTCTTCTGGTTTTCATGAACACAAGTAGTTGCAAATTTAATGATGCCTCTAGCTGGGACCTAGATTTTGCATCACATTTATTCTTAATTCACATGTCAAATTTGATGTCTGAGAGGGCAGGGCCACTAACCACATAGTCCAGATGACTGAGAAACACGGGCATCCAACTTTTTCTCTTTCTGATTCAGTTTCTCAAACATTTCTAAAGCATAGGTGATTTCTTAAAAAATACAGACATTAACATCTCAGTTCTTTAAAAATCTTTAATATGGGGAAGATAGATCTCAAGTAAGGGGCAATAACACAACACATTATATGAAGGGCAAGAGGGAATAATAAGGAGAGAGGTTTAAGTGGGGAGAGGTATGGAAAGTTAGGGCACAGGAGGAGGGGGGAGAGGAATAACTAACACTAAGGATGTTTACAAAACCCATATGGAAACCCACTAATTTATAATCTTCTCACACACACACACACACACACACACACACACACACACACACACACACAAACACACTTGCTCATCCCAGAATCCGTAAGTTGACAAATAAAAAGCTCAGTGCCAGGTGTGAGATACCTCCCCTTGAGTTTTTGGTCAGAGATGTCCCAGACCCCTCCTCCCAAACGATAGAGGATACTGTGTTTACTCTTGGTTGTCCACAAGAACTTGCTTGTAAGACTCTATTGTAGAAGACGCCATACTCTTTGGTCATAGGCTATGGAGAAATCATGTTAGTATTGATGAGAAGCTTCCTCTCCCTGCCTTCTCTCATAGTACTGGAAGAACATGCAGGCTTCTGGGGAGAGGGAAGTCATCAACAGTTTTATCTTGCTGTGAACTCTGTGAACTGTAATTACCAGCATCATAAGATATGTCCATGGGTACAATAGTGGCATAAATGTTATGGGAGTAACCAAACACTCTCTGATTGGATTTAAGGTACCATCTACAGGAAGATACACATGCCTGCTACAGCAGATCTGGCCCAAGGTCCATGGTTGTCAAGCTAACAGATTAACTCAAGGGTAAATCTACTACTATTATTTTGCTAAATGGACAAACTCCCTTCTGAATTTGTATTTTTTTTTTGTCTTTTTGAGACAGGGTCTCCCTGTAGCCCCACTATGTGTACCAGGGTGGCCTCGAACTCACAAAAATCTGCCTGCCTCTGCCTCCCAAGTGCTGGGATTAAAGGCATGTGCCACCACTCCTGGCCGAATTTGTATTTTTACATTTAGATTAGTACAGCTCTCAGACCTCATCAGAGAAGTTTTTGAGCAGTGGTTGGTCAACACAGAAACTTGGGACAAGTCAAAGCACAGAGAGTGTAGTAGAGTGTTCCACCATTAATAGGACACCTGTATCACATCCGGTTCTCAAGGCTCAAGACTATTGCAGAAGGGGCAGAAAGAGTGTAAGAGCCAGAAGTCAGGGAGGACTAGAGCAGAACTGTCTTCCAGACATGACAATACTGTTGCATTTGTGAACTCACAGTAGCTTTGGTTCCTTACACAAGATCTGCACAAGATCAAGTCAGTCAACATTCTAGCATGAAAGGAGGAGGCTCATGAATCCCTACCCCTAACTGAGGGGATATTGACAGATTATGGCTTCTAGGAGAGGGGATGTCCATTTTAAGGCCCCTGGTAGGCCAGTCACATGCCGTGGATGGCCTCACGCCCATGTGTATATGGAACATGCAAATTGGACTCAGTGAGTTGATTTAAGAAAAAGAAAAAGAGGACATGTCTCAGACAGTTGCTGTCTTAAGGATATGGTGATGTATCTAGGACAAATTAGTGGAAGGAGTGGAAGTGAATATGATAGTGGAAGTGAATATGATCAAAATACATTGAATGTACTTCCTGATAGGTCATTCAATTCTGTAATCCTAAAACCACTTGGGAGTATATAAGCTGCTAGGGATTTTTTCCTGGTAGAAAACTGATTCTCCTTCTCTTTCAGCAGCCACTGATTTCCTATAGCTCTTCATCCAGTGGTGTGGCCTGTAATTTCCCCCATTCACATTGGCATGTAACTGGTGCCCTTATGCAGGCCTTGTTTAGGCAGCTATATTGAGACTATATTAAGGTGCAGCTTCTGTGTCATGCCTAGAAGACATTATCTATCAGCAGATATCTGCATCCCCTGGCTCCTACAATCCCCCCCTACCCCTAATCATCCATGAAATTCCACAAGACTTTAGATGTAGGGCTGAATTTTAGATGTATCAATTAGGGCTGGGCACCCCACGTCCCTTATTCTTTATATTTACAACAGTTGTGCATCTCTATAGTAGTTACTATCTGCTGCAAAAAGAAGCTTCTTTGATGAGAAGATTGAGTTACACCTCTCTGTGGGTATGAGGATAAATGTTTGTAATACAGGATAAGTGTTTGGAAATTACATTACATTACATTACTGTTAATGGCAATTAGTAGATTCTTCTCTAGAGTATAGGATCCCTCCAGCCATGTGTGCTGAATATGTTTACAGTAACAGGCATGAATTCCCTCTTATTGAGGGGACTTTAAGTCTCATTAGACAGTTGCTATCTTTTACCCCCAGTAAAAATGCCAGTACTGCATCATTGGAGACAACTTGCTGAGTCAGTCTTTGTTGTGGTTCTAGGATTTACAGCTGGGTAGGACTATTGTTTGCTCTTCTTCCTTGGCAGCCTGCAGAACACCTTCTGATACTATGAGAGCTGGGCCTCAGGGAGGAGGTTTTCAGGTCAGCTCCATTCCTCTAAGTCCTGTATCCAAAGTATGTGGTGTCTTCAGCAATAGGGTCTTACCTTCAGTTCTTGGAGGTAACCAAGAGTAATGGCAGTTATGGCCTATATTATTTCTGGAGTCTTTTGGATTCCCCTCACCAACCTCTCAAAGGAAGGTTTACTATGCTTGGCACTAGGATTTTTGTTTGTCTTATGGGTCTCACAGGGAACTTTATCACCCTAGTGATAAATAATATATATATATGTATATATGTAAAGTAATCTTATAAGACAATGTGTTTCCCTATGCCTTTTCAAACATTCTTAATGTTATTTATCTCTCTTTCCTCCTTCTCCTGTTGTTATTACCTTCCCTCCTCTCTTCCCAGTTGAAGTCCTCTCCTCTTTCTCTAATTTTCCCTTTGGTAGAGTCTGTGTTCCAACTCACCCCCTCTGGCGCTCCTTCTTACCCCTCCACCCGTGTCCCTTTTTGCTTTCCTTACTTCTGCAGTTACTTCAGATTATATAATCACATCTAAAAATTTGGACCTAGCAACATTACATTTAAATTTCATTGACTAAAGAACATTCTCCCCAAGCATCTTCATTTTTCTCATTGACCTCTACACATGACATAGTGCTAGAAGACAGAAAGCATGCGTAGTTTTCAAGTGATCTTATCTTTGATGTCTCAAATTCTCCCTTATCATTCATGATTATATTTACTGCAGTCTGCCTTCCACTATTAAATTGCTTCCTTAAGAGCACTGGTCTTCATATTTGTAAAGGACATCTTGTAGTTTGTGTCTAGTCTGACTTCTCTGCAGTATTATGTTATTCATTCAGCTATCCACCCATCTATGTACAACTCATTCGCTGCCTCACTTCTTCTTCCCAAAATACCATCTTCCTGAGTTTCCATGATGCAGTCCTTAGGAAGTTTTCCTTGTATACATAATTTGTTTTTTCCACTTATTTTCACAGGACAAACCTCCACTAGTTCTAGAGAAATTCAATCGTTTCATGTCCTGGCTATAAAAGCTAAGGGCATGCTAGACAGGATAAGAGAACCATATCACATCAAAGTTGCTTGGCTAATGCATCTAGTTAGGGAGTCTGTCCATTTTGCATTTTGGACAAATTCCTTGAGTTGATACTCAGGACAACTTGGCATCTTCAAAATGTGCTGATAATTTTCCAACTATGTTCTATAATGCATGAAAGTCATGTTAAGAATTGACAACAATAGATAAAAGCAAACCACAGGCCATGCTTTGCTTTACGGAGGCCTATTATACTTACCCCAAATATTAACATTGTAGTTTTTCTCAGTTTTTCCAGCAACATTTGTTGCTTCACAAGTGTAACGACCAGTGTCTTGAACATGAGCATCTTCAATCTGAAATCAAAATAATGCTTTGAAAGCAGCTTCTCTGTCTCCCTCTCTCCTTTTCTCCCCCTTCTCTCTCTTTCTCTTCCTTCCCTACCTCCTTTCTTTCTTGTTCTCTTTCGTTTTCTCTTTCCATTTTGAGTCTGGGTCTCACTCTGTAGCCCAGGTTAGTTTAGAACTCACTAGGCCATCACTCAAGCTAGCCTGAAGCTCATAGCAGGCTTCTGCTAACCCTTTCAGGTGCTGGGATTAATGACCAGCCATGAGCCACCATGCCTGGCTTGAGACTACAGTTCTCTTTCACAGTTTGGGTTGCATATTAATGATCTTTGTTGCCTCTTATTTTTATTTTTCATTCTGATGATTTCAAAGCATGTAAAAAATGGAGAAAATTATAAAATGAATGTCTATACACTCATCGCAGAGATCAAATACTTAACAGAGGTTTAATAATATTCATCTATATCACACTTTATTTTAACATGATTTACTTCAGTGGTTGAAAACTACAAAGGCCTTCTAAATACAATACAGATAAAGTAGCAAAATTTTTCACAATTTCTGGTAAAGTCATTCAGGGATTTAAAATGTACAATTAAATATATTCTTATATATTCAGAAGGTAAAAGAATATGCGTGTTGCTTCTTCCACACTGAGTTTGCAAATATCTCCAATTCAAAAACTACATTCAGGGGCTGGAGAAATGGCTTGGTGATTAAGAGCAATAGCTGCTCTTAAAGAGGACCCAGGTTCAGTTCCCAGGACCCACATAGCAGCTCACAACCTTTAGTAACTCCAGTTCTAGGGGATCTGTAGCCCTCTTCTGGATTCTGTGGGCATTGTTTGCAAGAGTGCACTTATATACATACAGACAAAACACATAAAAGTAAATAAATAAATAAAATTATATCCAATTAATTTCCATCTCCTGCTACACAATTTGGTACTTAGCAGGTTACTGAGCATCAGTAAAATGCTTTCATGCATGTATATGCAATGTGCATCAACACTCAACCATCATAACTTACATGGCATTAAGCAGTCAATGCAAACCTTATACTAGGTAGATGTAAAGAAATACAATGTGCCATATTTCTTTTTTTCTTTTTTTTTATCTTTTTGAGACAGGATCTCCCTGTAGCCCCAGATGGCCTGGAAATCACTATGTAGACCAGGCTGGCTTTGAGATCCACCTGCCTCTGCCTCCCAAGTGCTGGGATTAAAGGCATGTGCCACCATGCCCAGCTACCATATAGCTTCTGATCATTCCTGATTTGAGTATACACTTTAGTTGAGCATATACAGCATGTGAAGGTAAACTAATTACAAAAAGGTACAAATGACAATACAAGATCAGAGGCACTACAAACTGAATTATTGCCAAATAAGGTTGTAAGTAAAAAATTTCTGAAATAGTCAAAGTAGGAAGAATGATTGTAGTTATAGTGATCACTGAAATTATTTGGCATGTAGACAAGTGATCAATAACTGTATCTATAAATTAAACAACAGGACCTGAGTTATGTAGAGTATCAAAGAATATTAGATCTAAAATTCAACCTCATTTTAAAGATAGGGAAATGCGTGTTTAGTTAAGAGAGCTACATAATTAAAAGTCACATAATTACTACTCATTACTGGACTGACCACAAAATTAGTAAGCATGAACCTATATGCTACTGTTGAAATTTACCTGAGCCCCAGAGGTTTGTGTTTTGCATACTGGCTCCCCAAATGGTAGCCTTATTTTGGAAAGCTATAGAACCATCAAAGGTGGGATCAAGCTGGTAGGTCACTAGGGGCAGACCTTGAAGGTTAATCACAGACCTCGGTTCCTCTTCCACTCTCTCTGCTTCCACCATAGTGTGAATAGCCTCTACCACCACATGCTCCTGTCATCTGCCATGCTTTCGTTACTTTGAGGAAGACTGAAACTCTCTGAAGTCATGAGCCAAAATCAAACCTTCCTCTGTAAGTTATTTCTGTCAGGTTTTATGGTCACATGATGGTAAATTACAATCTGATAAGTGGGCTCATAAGACCATGTGAATCTTACACCGTTGGAACTGGTTTGCACAAAGAATTTGGAAGAGATTGGAGATGCAGGCAGAGAAGCCCTGATTACTGTATGCATAAGCTTCACAGGCAATTCTGGTGGGAGTTTGGAAGCCTATAATGCTAACAGAATGTAGTCAGTAAAGACTGTGCTTAGCAGTTCAAGATTGGAACAAAGGCTTTGTTGAGATTTGGACTAGAGGTCATTCACATTACATTTTGGCAAATAATGTATTTATGTTTTGCTTGTTTTCTGACATTTGAGTTAGACTAAATTAAAAAGTAATGAGCTAATTAATTTGACAAAGGAAATGTCAAGCATAGCATTCAGCTATGGCATGGTTTAAATTTTTTTTTACATTTGTTTATTGTGTGTGTGATGTGTGTATACAGGTATACACACACACGTGAGCATGTGGAGCTCAGAGGATAACTTGAGGAGGTCAGCACTCTCCTTCTACCATATGGTTCAAAGATTGAACTCAGGTTGTCAGGCTTAGCAGCAAGTCCCCTTACCTGCTGAGTCATCTTGCAGGCACCCATGGCATGGTTACTAATGGCTGCTTTTAGTCAGGTTACAGTAAGAATCAGCAGCAAAAACTAGAGCAGAAAGAGGTGAAAATGTGCAGTCTAACCAGAAAAGAAGCACAATACCATATAAAGCTGAGGGAAAGATGCTATTGTTAAACAGATTAGTATTATTAAAAAGAAGCCAAGCAATATATCCTAGGATAATAGAATGTATGCCCTTGAGGTCATTTCATGAACCAACAAGAACCCACAAATCACAGTCTCTAGAATGTAAAACTATTAACTCATTTGAAAGACTTTCTGTTAAAAAGGTAGTGCCACTGGAGTGCTCTCCCTTCACAGTTACTTATGGAACTGTGTTCCCAGGTTCAGCCCAGGTACTTAGCACCTGCTTTAGCTGTGGTCCAAGGGGGGTCTGACTACTGCTTGAGCTGGTGACAGAGCTTAACATTGTCCACATGGTACTGGTTTTGTAAGCATGTGCAGTATAAGAGGTATTGTGTCTGGTGTCTGGTGCATGTACATTGGCCAGTGTTAATCAGTCTGTGTTAATCACCATCTGTTGCATTAAGAAACTTCTCTAGCGAGAGTTGAGAGATGTATTCATTCATCCCCTGTATAGGGGTGGAATTGAAGTGGGGTCATTTAGCAAGTGCTTATCCCTGATTAAGACACCTACTTCAAACCTCTGCCTCCCACATCTAGAGAATCATTGCGGAAGAGGAGGTGCAACAATTGTAAGAGGGATGGATGATCACAAGGAAACAGAGTCTTCCAGATAACTTGTCAGTTGCTCATATGAATTCACAGCAATGGTGACAACATGCACAAGTCCCATGCAAGCTCAAACCAGACAAAGTTCCAGCATAGACATGGGGAAGTGGGTAAGAAATCCCAACCCAACCTAAGGAACATTTGGCAGTTGGTGGCTGCTGGGAGGGGGAAAGACAGTGTCTTACAGGGATGGGACTCTTGGTGGGCCCAGTGGATGGACCTACACTGAAGGACATTTGGGGACATGAATCAGACTCTAGAGGCTGTATTATACACATAAGAAAGTACATTAAATTTGGCAGGGGGTGTGGGGGAGCTGTGGTTAGGTAAGGGAATATACAAATACCATCAAACTATATTATATGAAAATCTTGAAAATTAAATAAAAAATAAAAATTTAAAAAGTATGTTCCTCAACTTCTAGTATCAAATATTCATCAAGATTTAATTGTTTATGTAAAAATAAGCTCATGTGTCTTATGCAAAGTTGCTTCTGTCTTTAATATATGGTAACATTGTATGTCTAGGGAAAGAATTGTTTTAAAATAAATTTCTTTATGATTTATTATCATTAAAAATAAAAAGAGATATGTTGTCAAGAAGGCTTGAACCAAAGCTTTTGGGAAAAGCCTAAGAAATGTTTAGCAGGGTGATGCCTTCCAGGGTGATGCCTGAGGCTGAAAGTGAAGCCTAAGATGGAGAGTCAGTATATTGGATATGCCAGGAGCTTGACGTATGACCTGTGGGCAACATCTGGGGCAACCCAAGGGACAGGTGTTATGTGCTGCAAGTGGCAAAGCCTCAAGGGTGGGGCTGTCCCAGCCTGCTGGAACTCATGTCATGATACCATGTGCCTTCAATCTGAACATGCTCCAGGAGTTAATGTTTCCACTGCTGGGTTTTGGTCTTATTTTGCCCCATGTTTTTTTACTATGCCTTCATTCCTCTCTTTTAGTCTTAAAAAGTTTACTCTTTGCCATCAGAAATCACAAGTATGTAAATTTTTTTGGTCTTTTTGAGAGAGGGTCTTCCTGTAGTCCCAGCTGTCCTGGAACTCACTATGTAGACCAGACTGGCCTTGAACTCACAGAGATCCCCCTGCCTCTACCTCCCGAGTGCTGGAATTAAAGGCATACGCCACCATGCCCAACTATAATTTTTTTTTTTATTTGACAAGGACTCACAGTTAGGAGATTGCCTTCAATCTCAGTAGATATTTTGGACTTAGACTTTTGAACTGTATTGGAATTATTAGGATTAAGGGGACTATTGAAGACTGGATTAAATACATTTTGCATTCTAAGATTGTCATAAGCTTTTGCACATCGAGTGGAATGCTGTGGTTTGAATCTAAACTGTCCTTCACAAACTCGTATTTTGAATGCCTTCTCACCAGCTGGTGGTGGTATTTTGAAATCTATATCATAAAGTATCTCTGGATAGAGCAGCTCATTATGAGCGGTCATTCGAAGGTAAGCTAACAGCACCTGTTATACATCCCCACTGCTACCTACCAGGTTCTCATTGCTATGATAGACTGAAACCCTTTTAAACTATAAACCCAAACCAATCTTTTTTACTTAAGTTGTTTCTGTCAAGTTATGTGGTCATAGAAATGCACAAGTAACTAATACACTATGGATCTCATGAAAAGATTTGATAATATGGGTAGACAAAAGAGGAGGGATTAACATTTAATCAAGTGCCTAGTGTGTGCCAGGCAAAATGCCCAGTGTATTCTGGGCAAAATAAAATGACCAAATTCTGTTTTGTATCTAGTCAAAGATGTGTGAGTAAAATGCTGGGTGAAATAGTGCTAAATAATCAATTAGGGTTCAGTTCTATAGAAAGTTTCATTGTATGGGTCTTCTGTCTAGTCCTTCAACAGGACCTGCACACCCCAGGGTGTCTGGCATGGCTCCATGCTGGGAACCGTGGATCTAAGGATTTCACCATTACCTGAAGAAATGAACTTCTACACTCACCAGAATTTGTATTTATATAAATACCTCCCTCTTCCTTTAGCCACAGCTAGGCTTTGAGATATGCGGAGGAAACCTGCGGGGAACATCTGGGGTTGTTGGGCACAACTAACCCAAGAGACAGGTGCTGTGTGCTGCAAATGGCAAGGCCTCAAGGTTGACGTTTTGCCAGATACTTTCTAGAACAAGGACACTGCCTCTAAGTCTGAACAGTGCTTTTCCTTTGTCTTTTTTCTCTTTTGTCTGTGCAGCTCAGACGGCCTCTCCTTTGTTTCATCAGTGATTCTGGCCTTTCCCTCTGCATCCAGCTCCATCATTACAAGTAGTGATTTCCAAAGCCCCTGTTTTCTTTCTTTAACAAATACCTCTGATGTTCTGGACTTTCAGTTCTCCCTGGGAAAGCTTCTTAGCTTGCTGCCCATTGCCTTTCTTACATGCTGATGTTATCATCCTCAATATTATTGTTTTGTTAGCACGATTGTTCTCAATTAGGAGCCATTTGTAGCCAGTAGTGTGGACAGAAAGAAACCCTTCTTACATGCTGATGTTATCATCCTCAATATTATTGTTTTGTTAGCATGATTGTTCTCAATTAGGAGCCATTTGTAGCCAGTAGTGTGGACAGAAAGAATACTTCCTGTGTTCTGATCCAATTCATGCCTCTTAGTAATTGGGGACACTGTTTGCTTATTTCTTTAGCTTCTTAGTTGGTTATTGTGAACATTTTATAAACATGCATTTGGGTTAGCAACATTCAGACCCTTTGGTTTCCTGAACCTGAATTCCTCAGGTTAGCTTGTCAATGCCAGCTCTATTTCACTCAGATGAACTCTGCCAATATTGTTTAAAACATTTACTTTGTGTCCCTCTGACAAAATTAGTATAGGCCTCAAAGTATGGCTGTTAAACATCCAATAAGGTTATTGAATATGTCAATGCTATTGTAATGAAATGCTTCTTCTAATTATGTGGTTATTAAATGAATAATTAAAAACATTTACTTTCTAAAAGTCTCTATTTCTTCACTAGCTTCCCTGCTTTCCTTAATCAGGACTTTTGTTCCTATCCATGCTTATAAAGCAAGGGAGTTTTCCTATATTCTTCCAGGCAAAAAAAAGTACACTTGGCAACTAAACCAAACTTAAGCCCGGCACTTCTGAATTTCTGAGATAAAATGATACTTAACTTTTCACAGATTTATATAAAATTCTAAGACATTGAAGATATGAGATATGTCCTGATATTTCCATCCTTATCTAGAGCACCTAAAATGGGTGATTGAATGGCTAAATTTGAAGCACACCTTAGGATATTCTTATAACATTTTCCTGAAAGCATTTTTTTTTGAGATGGCTTCTGGTTAAAAGTATGAATGGACAGTTAAGTATAAGCATAAAATTTAAGGCTATCATCGGTGTCATTAAATAAGATTCTTTGAATTTTATTAGATGAATCGAGAGCACTTACACAAGATAGACATCTTTAACAGGTATAACACTGAAACATATGCTTTAGAACCACGTGATGAAATGAATCCGCACCTTACCTTCAACACACTTCCATTTTCAGAGATACTGAGGCCTGGTTTCTTCAGCAAAGGGCGGCCATCCTTTAACCATGTCAGAGTAGGTGGGGGAACTGCATCACTTTGGCATAGCAACTCCACAGCTTGACTAATGAGGATAGAGACATTCTGTTCTTCTCCCATAATATTTGGTGGAACTAAGGGAAAAATGAGTTTTTCCTCAGGACAAAACAGGCCAGCACACCATTTCTGTCCATAAATCATCAAGATACATCCTGAAGAAATCTACTGCCCTTTTCAAGATGGAGGAGCACAGGCATTCTTGCACATACTCTCTGCACCATTTGGTTCAGAATCAAATGTTAATAAATCACTAATTTATAGATTCACATGAACCAGAAATAATTATCCCTAACTTCATTTAAAGACGTTTTAGAACACAAAGTTCTCACCAGTCTAGAGCTAGATGTTTATGTTTAGGGTTTTTAAAGTAGTAAATCACCTGTGAAGTATTCTGTAAACAATAATGAATTAAAAAGCAAATGTTCTTTCAATATTTATTTACGTCTTTGCAAAAGAAATAAATCCCATAGTCACTGAGGCAAAAACTTTAAAGCTATTTGAAAGAGAACTCAGAGATCATGTAGCTCTACATTCACATTCTCCTTCAGATCATGAAAACATAACACAGGTGCCAGGCCAGGGCTTACACAAAATGATGGGACTAACTGGTGGCAAAGCTAAGAGTCTACTGGATTGCAGTTTAGAGTCCTCTTTTGTGCCTTCCTGACGTTCTATGGAATGAACACCATGTGGGATAAGTGACACAATAGAGAACAAATTGAACCAGTCACCAGCTGTACAACACACGCATAACTACATAAAAGAAGTAAATCTGTTGAAACTTTAATAAGATTAACATTAGAATTCCCTGGCTCTGAGACTTGTCAAGTGCTGAAACGTGTTCATAGAGATGTTTTAAAAATGTCCTCCCTTGCGTTTATTAAGGTAAACAATCATTTGTCTTAGACGGTTTAGGTACAGCTTTGTCAATAAGAATGGGTCTCGTAATCTATCAAGGACTCGATCCGGGCTGGATATATAATCACTCGGAAAGACAAATGAGTAATGAAATCAGGACAGCCATGAAGGGGCCACTCTGAAAAAGCACAAGGGAGAAATTCCTTGACCATTTCTCACTAAATCCCATAGACACTCAGGACTCTAGGATATTTAAAGTTGTTTTTTGTTGTAGTTATTGTTTAGTTTTGATCTTGTTGTCACAGGACAGGCTGATCTATCTGTATTCACTTGAACCCTTAAGGGCTTTCCAAATGCTTTGTTAGAAATAAGACTGCTAGCCAGGTGTGGTAGCATATGTCTTTAGCCCAGCACTCAGGAGGCAGAAGCAGGCAGATCTCTGTGAGTTCAAGGCCAGCCTGGTCTACATAGAGAGTTCCCGGTTAGCTGGGGCTACAAGGAGACCCTGTCCCAAAAAGAACAAAAAGAAGAAGAAAAAAAAGACTGTTCTAGTAATACATATTACTATAGTCTATGAGCCATAGTTCAGGCTCAAAACACAAGTATGTGGAAGATGATAAATGTGTACTGACCAGCAGCTTCTGCTTCTGTAACCATCAGGGTTCTCTGCTATCACACCTGCTTCAGAGGGAAAGAGTTATGAAGCAAAGGGTACATCTATGTGCTCTCTCTGGGTATAGCACTGGAGCAAAACCTAAAGGAGTGGACTGTAAAGGAGGAAAACCCCTGCAAAATGTGTGGAACAGACCGAGAGAGCAGCCTGTGATGCTGCTTCTGTTAAGGGAACAGCACACTTGATTCTTAGGAAGCTTAAGGTAATTTCTGAGGACCAGAAAACAGTCAGAATTATTTGTTTATTTTTAGTCTATGCATATGAGTATTTTGCCTGCGTGTTTGTAATTGCGCTGTGTGCATACAATGCCCTTGGAGTTCAAAAGAGTGTATGTTGGGACCCATGGAACTGGAGTTCAGGCCCTGGAGTTAGCTGCCATGTAGGTGCTGGGACCTGAACCTGGGTCCTTTGTAAGAGAAGCCAGTACTCTTAACTGCTGAGCCATCTCTCCAGCCTCTATTGTGAAAATATTTTTGATAGCTTACATAGTAAAAGTAAAAGATATACATCTTTTAGCCTGATGAAGATTAAGACTATTATAGAGTGGCAAATATCCACAATTCATGGCATTTTCTTAGATACATGAAAACAGATACATTCATAAGCTTTGGCACAAGAATCCCTAAATAGAATAGCCAATTTTACAGCTTGATAATACTTTTGAGTTACGTTTGGTCTTATTGGACAAAAAAATTACCATAACTATGTATGTCTATTTTAGGTTGTTTGTAGAATTAATAAAAGAGCGTGTTTTCTTTATGACTTTGCAGAAGTAAAAGTCAGAAACAATCTAAATGCTAATTGATTTCCAGGTATCTCCTTCTAATTGCTTTAAAAAAAATACTCAAATGAGTTGAAGCAGATGAGCTCTTTTAAAACTGAGAAAAAAATGTAAAAATAATAGAACTTGCTTAAAAACATAAATTAAAGCAAACCCCACTATAGTAAAGCACACACACACACACACACACACACACACACACACACTACAGAAACATTTTTGTCTTGTGTCTCATTTTCAACTTTCTGTTTAGTCTGAGAACAAGGTTCTAATCTTAAGACCTTTATGTTATACCCATTTTGCTTTGTGGTTATGTTGCTTAAGAAAGGATCCATCTGGACTTGTTATTCATCCCACACATAAAGCCTGTAAATTGAATTACCCAAATCAGAACTGCTGTGAGGTTATACTTGCTGAAATGCTAAGGGATGTGAGGTCTGTAAGAAACTTCTCTAAGTTTAAGCTTAAAGCAAAGCTCCTATAGGCCCAAATATGATTAAAATGAAATCTACAGAAATTCAATAAAAATACATAGGGAAAAATTACAGAGGGAAGAAAGAGAAAGAAAAGGTACTACAGGAACACAACTTAAAAAAAAAACCTCTTAATTCTGTTATTTTCAATTTCTTAGAATATATTCAGAATATATTCCAGAGAGAAAACGTTTCCAGGAACTAATCTTCAAATTATGGGTAAAGCTATTTCACCCCTGCGACCTCCTACTCCCACTGTCATGTTCTGCAATGTAAACCTAGAAGGGGTTCACCTCTGGGGATTAGCATGCATTAGATTCCAAACAGACAAGAGTGCTTAGGAAACACACACAGGAATACAGTATATGGAAAATATGCTAATAGAACATGGTTGAAACGGTTTCATATTAACAACCTATTTGACTTGCTGAAAAATATTTCA